TTGTTGGAGATGTGAAGAACCAGTCATGTTTAAAGACAGCTCTCAAGGGTGTTCGTGCAGTTATATTCTCAAGTGTATGCATCTATTTCTCTTTTCAGGGTCACTTTGGGACCCGGTAAATATCAGGAAAGAAAATGTGGAGCAAGATGAAAGGGAGATTTGTAAGGAAATAAATTTGGTTGCAAAGTTAAGAGCTGTTTCAAACTCAATAAGTAGTAAATCAAATTAGATAAATTTTCAGACGTTCTTTTAATATTACTGTTATACAAGTGTACAATGACTAGTAAATATAATTATATAAATACATGTAAAGTCTTAATGGTTTTATTCAAAATTGATTTGCCTTTATATTTTCCATGGTGAAACCAATGTTGTAAACCTATTTTCCTTCCTACCCAATTTTACTGTATGATGGTTGGCTCTTCACAACCTTGCTGTACCTACTTGATCTGCCCTTCATCTTCCTCATCATTAATTAGTCACATTAAAAATATGATGCTTATAAAATTTTTATTTTGAAGGAGGGGTCCGCATCTAACATTCAGAGCTGGAATGGGTTGCAACATGTCATCCTATTGTCACAGGTAATCAATAACCTTCGTGCATATATTAGCCTATATGGCACTTTCAGTTGTAGCCATGTTTAATTATATATTTTGATAGGGTTGCAGTTATATGCTTATAGAGGTGCTAGTGGTATTCAAGCATTAATAATTAGCAACGCAAGAAAACTAGCAGAGCAAGATGAAAGGGCTGTTCTGGCATCAGGAATCCCTTGCACCATAATTAGAACCGGCTCATTGACTAATGTTCCTGGTGGACAGCAAGGTTTCAGCTTTGAAGAGGTAGTTCAATAGTTAAGTCTTCCTTCCTAAGTTTTCCACGCCCTGCACACCCCTAAGATGAAAGCAGTGAATGAAAATCTAACCTCAAATGAACCTTTTTTTTCATCTTAGGGGAGTGCAGGGCTTGGAAAACTAAGCAAGGAAGATGCTGCCTTCTTATGTGTGGAGGCTCTGGATGTAGTACCACAAACCGGACTGGTATTTGAGGTTTGCTCTTTCACCTCGATGTTAACTTCAGTAGACATAAATATAGGCAATATCGCAAACATTCAGATATATATTCAAGCCAGGCTAGAACATGATACTTCATATTTTAAAGATCAAACCACATTGTTAGGCAAAGCGAACGAGTCCTAACTCTTTACTTTGTGGGTGTAGCAGACTCGGCTGAAATAACTGAGCATAATAAACGTGCATGTCCCCTAAACTTTCCCGTGATGTGCATTGCAGGTTGTAAATGGAAAAGAGAAGGTTTTGGATTGGAGGAAGTGTTTTGCAGGTCTAATGAAAAAATCATTGAAGCCGACATTGTGATTACTGGACAAAGAATTACTTCTCGTAGTGAATGACAAAGTTATGGCATGTTAATTCAATATATGCAAAGCTGTACTTTGAGTGCATAGTATGAATGAACTGATTTTTTAAAAACTGCATTTTATTTGAAAGGAATATAATTTGGCAACGTACAATATAGATTTGACACATGTTCTTGTTGTAATCATTTTGTGTTATATTATACGAGTACTCCGTAGTCCGTATTATTTAACTGAAAAACGTAAGAAGTATGTATTTAATTTAATCAAGCTCAAACCAAGCATTCCAGCTCAGCTGGTTGTGAGGTTACCGTACTTAGTGGGAGGTCTCGAGTTCGAAATCCGCTAGGCACATAAGGGTTTGAAACTCAATGGGCCTTGATTACTCCAAGCTCCCCCAACCCCCTCCCCAGACCCACCTGGAGTAAAAAATAATAATTTAATCAAGCTCATTGGTGTGAATATATCAACAACACCTTACCTCTATAGAGAATTCCATAGAACTAAAATAATAAAGTGCACAGATAAGGTTTTATGTTTTGTAAGGCTTAAAATGTAGTAAGATGACGATCCTTATTGAAACAAAATTAAAAGCCTTCACAGGCTCAGGTCCCAAGTAGGGCTGTTAACGAGCCGAACCGAACCCGAACACCCAAAGCTCGACTTCGGCTCGATAAGGAATTAGTGGTGTTCGGGTTTGAGCTTGAAGCTCAGCGAGCTTTACAAATGAGGTTCGTGTTCGGCTCGATATGTGTTCGATGTTCGAATCTAGCGCTCGATAAGCTCGATAAATATGTCAAAAATTAAAATTTTAGGTGATGCTCGTTAATAGGCTCGTGCTCAAATGATTCGACAAGTATTCAGTTCGTTAATAATTACTCCGTATATATTTAAATTTATAAAATCATACAGAGTACTAATTATGTTTAAATTTTGACATATATATATATATATATATATATATATATATATATATATATATATGTTGAGGTTTATTCCTTCAACCCTCGGGTCCAACATGTAAGCCCAAGGATTTCGAGTGGAGTGTGTATGAATACCTAGCCCAACAAGCAGATGATATGGATCAAAGAGAACAAGAAGTAGCAAGTAAATGATTAGGAATTATTATCTCTTAATAACTCCCTAATACAATACTTTTCGCTAAGGCTCCGTCGGCCGTTCGTCTTACAAGGCAGTAGAAGTGCTGCGAGTAAGAATGCTATAGCTAGAGTGCTAAGAGTAGAAAGTTGCCAACCCCTTACAATGAAATAAATGCTTCTATTTATACCCACCAATGGGCAGGTGGCTACACTGACGTGGAAGCCTGTGGTCCGCTGGTGCCTCAACCACCAAATCTTCAGCATTAAATGCGCTTTCCGCCAGAATCTAGGTTTCCCGCCTAATTAGTGGGGACGTTCGTCCGCCAGGGGAGCGAGCTAGATTGCTCCAGGTGGCCTCCAAGGGTAAACGGCCGTTCGTCCCCTGGCCTTTGTGGATTTTCGCCATGCGGGCTAGACCGTCTCCGATGGCTATGGGCTTGCTCTGACGACGTTCGTCGTCATTCTGGTGATCCGTGGGCCTGCTCCTTGTCCCTGTATGGACGTTCGTCGATATGGGCCGCTGAGCCTAACCCTCTACTGCAGACGTCCGTCCCTTCTGGACTACATGGCTCGCTAGGCTAGTTCAGTGGCCTGACTGGACGTACGTCTGGAAAAGAAGGGGTGAATGGGCCGGACCCTGACTTGGGCCATTAACCCAACAATATATAAATATATTTATAAATTCATGGTGTTGGATAGGCTCGGGTTCGAGCCGAGTCGAATATTACTATGTTCGAGCTCGGTTCGATTAACTTTTCGAACTTAAAACCCAGCTCGAGCTCGAATTCGAAAGCTCGTTAAGCTCGACTCGTTAGGTTTGAAACCGAGCTCGAACTCGAATAGTTCAATAAAAGCTCGGTTCGTTAACAGCCCTACTCCCAAGCTAGTTCAACGACGCCATGGGAGAAGTTTAAGGGCTTGGCCTCCGCCTAGTCATGGACCCGGGACCGGGTCGGGCCTAGGCCCGGCCGGGTCGGATGGTTGTGGTTTAGGCCCGGGATCGGCCCGGTTGTCTACCGGTTCTGGTTCCATTTTTTGTTTTGTTTTCTAATTTATTTCATCTCCTCCCCCCATCTCCCAACCCCATCGGAAACAGCCAGCCCAACTAAACTCAGCCCAAACCCCAAAAAATAAAAAATAAATAAAAAGGCCCGAACCGGTCCGGAACCGGCCAGGCCGGTTCGCATTTCACCTATCCCGGGACCGCCCCCGGTTACACCCTAAAACCGGGCCTAGACCCGGAACCGGTACCCGGTTCCCGAACCGGGCCGGGCCCCTACGGGACCAGGCCGGTTCCTGGGTCGGGTGGCCCGACCGAGTCCAACACCACCTCCGCCACCGTCCAACAAGTCTGCCGTTGATGCCACCCTTTGGCGAGTTCGCCACTACCATCGTACGACGAGCCGCGGCCCTCTGACGAGTCTCTATAGACTTCCAACGGGAATGCCATCTTGATAAGATTAGTGGCACAACGATGACATTTTGTGCAAACCTGTCATTTTGAAGTGCCAAATATGATGATGAAATTCCGAAGATAGGCGGCATCGAAACTTCAACAATCGATGATAGGGATATATATTGGCGATGGCCGGCGGCAAGAGCAGGTGGCTGGGACACTCGAGCTTAGGAATATTTTTGTTCAAAGAAACATAATTACTCATATTTTGGGAATTTAAAACAATATTACGTATATCCTATTTTTGTATTTAGTCTATGTTTTATTTTTATTTTGAGAATTCACTCTAATTATTTTCATAATATCACAGATTCAATAGGCTCCGTTAGCATTTCATTAATTTCAACGTATTCAAGGGATTGAGTATAAGAGCATCTCCATCCATGATCTCCAATAATCAATTTTTCTATGATTCTTACCTTTTAAATATTGTTATATAATTAATATTTAAATAATCTCAATATTCGTTTATGTCTCCCAACCATTATCTTCAAATAATTAGATTTTTTCGTTCCTGCATTAACTTCTATTACATATACTTTTTAAATAATCTTAAAATAATCTGGATTGATATTTTGATCCCGGATTATTATAGCAAATAATCTCATTAAATAATTTATGTCGCTCAATGATGCTCCTTTAAAAAATCTGTCATGTCAGTTACTTAATCTCTTAATCCTAAGGATGCCCTAAGACTCTATTTTTGCCTTCTACTGTATTTCGTAGGGAGTATTTGCAATTGCTTCAACTTTAAAAAAATGATTTTTTAAAGTGATTTTGAGAAAAGTGATTAATAGTAAAAGTTGGTAGTGTTTGAGAAAAAAGTGATTCTGAAAAAGTAAAAGTTGGTAATGTTTGGTAAAATAAGTACTTTTTGTGTAGTAGAAAAAGTGAAAAGCAGTTTAAAGTACCCTTCCACCTGCTTCTAGCTTTTAGCTTTTAAGTAATTAATTTAAGCAGAAGCTGTCATTTGAAAACACTCTTTTTAGCTTTTCTTTAAGCCAAAAGCTGAAAAGAGTTTTTTTTTTTAAGTAACCGCAAACACTTAAAATTCTTTTGCGGTTGTGGGAATTTTCTTTTTAAAAATAATAAAAGTTCTCTGACGTTTTACGCTGCGTGCACTGCGAGCGTAATGGTCTTTGTTTAATTTCGTCCTCGCCGCTCCTCAAACTGGGCCGCTGGACGCCGGCAGCGCTACTTGCCTCCTCGGGACCTCGCCTGCTCGTGAACTCGTTCCTTCCTCCAGCCCAAGCGGACCACCCAGTTTAGTCCTCTGTTCTCGCTTTCTCTTTTGGACTCCCAGAGTCCCGGCCTACAAATTTAAGAAGCTGGTAGGTCTCCCTGCTCTTTCTGAGTTATTTCTATTACCTCCCTTCCCGAGTTTTTACCCAAAATTAGGCTGTTAAATTTGGAAATTGGAATGATAATCTGTTAATGACTTAAATAACAACTTTGGCCTTTTAAAATCTAAACCGAAATATTCATAAACTGATTTTTTTGTAAATGACTTAATAAGCTGCAACTTAGTAAAAGTTTGGAATGATAGCTTTGAATGAATTGCTTATCTTATTTTTGTGAACTTTCATCAATATTACTGTTTAGATTGAATTGTTTTTCCTATTTTTATAATTTGCAAAGTTATGATTAATGGAATTTAAAGTATAATTAGAATCCGGAATGATTCTCCCACTGCATTCGTTTTATCTCCCTTCGGTTGAGAGGTTCAAAAGTTTCGCCAGTTTTGAAAATAAACATATCTCATGCTCATAATCAATAACTTGATATCATGAACTGTTACTGAGACAAATATAATATTCGTAGTATTGTATAAAAAGGAGTGTATGGCAAGAGAGACATGGGAAACTTGTTTTTGTTGTGCTTCATTTGAAGGCAGTAACATTCATCCTCTTTGCATTGAGTTATTCATTCTCTGTATAATATCGTTACTTATTTACTTTTCAAAAGAAACATTAAAACATGATTTGAGGAATATACTCCCTCCGTTCCCAAAAATACTTCCCACTTTCCTTTTTGGGCCGTTCCAAAAAATTCTTCCCACTTTCCCTTTTTGGACAATTTGTGTGACTCACATTCATTTTACCTTTTTCTCACACAACCACACATTTCCACTTTATTCCACTTTCTTAATAGGCGTGCCAAGTCAAACCGGGAAGAATTTTTAGGAACGGAGGTAGTATATTGATAGATGTTACATAGTACTTCGAAATTTGTTAGAGCTTCAAAGGTTAACAAATTGTCGAACCTTTTTTGTAGTGTTTTGAACTTTGATATTACATTTCACTCGATGTAATAGTTTTTGTTGGCTAAGATACAATTGTAGAATTGTCATGCTACACCAGATTATTATTTTAAATTTTAATTTTTAAATTTATTTGAAACACCCAAAATACAGCTACTAGATCCGCAACTGAGCAAAGCTAGAATGAGGTTGGGGGCACATAGTTTGAGGCAAGTTTTTTTTATTAGATTTGACCTGAAGTTCTATAATTAGCAATGAATTTGAATATAATTGTCTCAATCCTTACCCAAGATTTCAAAACATTATCAAAACATGGTTGGGGTTTCAGGTTTACAAAAAACACGAAAAACCCAACTCAAAACCTGAACTATTTCAGGTTGACATATATTTATGCATTCACAAGATGAATTTTTGAGTTCTGACCATTTTATTGACATTGGGTTAAAATGTACTTTTACTCAAACTAAAGTTGATTAATTTTAAAATTTGATATTTGATGACCCTAACCCGCCAAAACTTGACTTACTATCACTCTATCAGCTTAACCAAAGCACATTATAAGTTTTAGGATTGACTTTTAGATCTTAACTTGAGTACCTGACTACCTGAGCTTTTTTGGTGTTCTATTCTGAGTCGGATTGGACCCGAAGTTCACTCTTACCCCAGAATGAGACATATGCATTATATTATCTTGTCATCATTCTAAATAAGGATGAATGTACATTGACAACTTGATTTTTCCGGCTCATTTTAGTTGGTCCAAAGTCAAGGAGATGCTATGGGGCACTAGCCACCCCATTAAAATATGGACCTTCACACCTGAAAGGTTAAGCTTCATATAGCTTTATTGGATATTTAGAATACATTTATATATTTCTTGCTCTATCCTATCGCAGAAGCAGATGAAGATCAAGTGAGCGATGCAATTTTAGTAACAAACGGGTGTCATGAGATTGGTCAGGTTTGTATATGGAGAAGACATGTTTATTCATTTTTTTCTTCTATTCTTGACTTTGACTTGTGGATAGTATACTGTGTAAAGATGATCATAATATCATCATTGATAGTCAAAAGAACACGGGCTAAGTTGCTAGTTAGGGATAAGAAGGCCGCTAGGGAGGCATTTGGCGCTTATGATGAGGTCAGCATAAGGGGACTTTTAGTGAATATGCCTTACATTGCTGTTTGTCTTAATTATTGATATGGCTACCATAAACTTTCTGGATTTTCAATGAAGCCAACTGCTGGAGATGCAAAGAGTTGGTTGTACTTAAAGACAGCTCTTAACGGTGTTCGTGCACTTATATGCCCAAGTGTATGTCTATCTCTTGTCAGCTCTTTTAGCTTCACTGTGGAACCCGGTAAATGTTAGGCAAAGAAAACGTGGAGGAAGAAAAAAGGGAGATTTCAAAGGAAAGAAATTTAAATTGGTTAGAACTCAATTAATCTTTTTTAGATGCTTGTTCAAACTTATTATTTCTATTATTCCATTATACAAAGACTGAATATAGATGTATGTAAAGTTCTCATTTTTTATTCAATTCTGATCTGTCTTCGTTGGTGAAACCAAATGAGAAACCTATTTTCCTTCATTTCCAATTTGAATAGTATGAAGGTTGGCTTTTCATGGACTCTCTTTACCTACCTGATCTGCCCTCATCTTCTTTGTCATTGACATAAAAATGATGCTATAAACATTTTTTTTGTAGGAGGGTTTTGCACCTAACGCTCAGAACACTAAAGATTTGCAACATGTTACCATATTGTCAAAGGTAGTCACTGACTTACATGCATGCATATGTCACTTCTGTTGAGAACCATGTTTAATACGTAGTATATGTTTTGATAGGGTAGCCAGCCATTCACTCCCTTTTCGCAGCTTCACGAGCAAAAACTCCTTGAATCCCATTTAGTCTCTCTTCTCGATGTCTGCAATGGTCTGCTCCAAATCCAGCAAGTCCACACGCAGGTGATCCGAAGAGGTGTGGACCAGTGCTGCTATGTTCTCACCAAGCTCATCCGTACGCTCACTAAAATCGACGTCCCCGTGGACCCTTACCCGCGTCTGGTGTTCGAAAGGGTCAAAGACCGGAACCCTTTTTTGTGGACTGCCATGATCCGAGGCTACTGCATAGAAGGATCATTAGAAGAGGCTTTCTGGATGTACGGTCTGATGAGGAGAGAAGGTCTTTCCCCAGTTTCATTCACTTTTACAGCATTATTAAAGGCTTGTAGTGATGTCTTGGAGCTCCAGTTAGGGCGCCAGATCCACTGTCAGTGTGTAAAGGTGGGCCGTCTCTCTTCCGACCTGTACACGATGAACACTTTGATAGATATGTATGTGAAATGTGGGCTCCTTGACTGTGGGCGGAAGGTGTTCGATGAAATGCCTTTAAGAGATGCGATCTCCTGGACTTCCCTGATCTTCGCGTATGCCAAGAGTGGGGATATGGGATCGGCTATGGAACTGTTTGATGGATTGCCTTTCAAGGATATGGTAGCCTGGACCACTATGGTCACAGGCTTGGCCCAAAATGGCAAACCCAAGGAATCCATAGAGATCTTCTGCAGGATGCAGAATGCTGGAGTGGAGACAGATGATGTCACCTTGTCGGGCGCTATATCAGCATGCGCTCAACTGGGCTCCACCAAACACGCCGATTGGATAAGGAGCTTGGCTGAGAGGTCAGGATATGGGCCCACAAATAACGTCGTCATCGGTTCGGCGTTGATCGATATGTACTCCAAGTGTGGTAGCGTCGAGAATGCTCATGAGGTTTTTGAGAAGATGAAGATGAAGAACGTGTTCTCATATAGCTCCATGATTCTAGGGTTCGCCATGCACGGTCACGCAAGCCACGCGTTAGATCTGTTTGAGAGCATGTTGAGGACAAATATTAGACCGAATGACGTCACCTTTCTTGGTGTTTTACTAGCATGCAGTTACTCAGGTCTGGTAGAACAAGCCAAACACTTTTTCCACGTGATGGAGAATAAATATGGAATCAACCCAGCTGTGAATCACTATGCCTGCATGGTGGATGTTCTTGGCAGGGCAGGGGAACTAGAAGAAGCACTGAATCTCATTCAGAACATGCCCATAAAGCCAAATGGAGGTGTCTGGGGAGCCTTGTTAGGAGGTTGCCGGATCCACAGCAATCCAGAAGTAGCAGAGATTGCTGCAAACCACCTCTTAGAACTTGAGCCAGACGGAATTGGAAATTTTGTCCTTCTCTCGAACATCTATGCTTCCGCTGGAAGGTGGGAAGATGTGTTGAAGGTTAGGAAGATGATGAAATCAAGATTACTCCGAAAGAGCCCTTCACGCAGCTGGGTCGAAGGGAAAAATGGGGAAATCCGCGAGTTCTATGCTGGGGGTTCGATCAATCCAATGTCCAGTGAGATTATGAGAGTGCTTGCGGATCTGGTTGCGCAACTTGGGTTGGGCGGGTATGAACCAAACCTGAGTTGCGTGCCTTACGATTTGGACGATAAGGAGAAGAAACGGATTTTGATGAGTCACAGTGAGAAGCTTGCTTTGGGTTATAGCTTGCTGACCAGCAGTTCGGTCTCCGAGATTAAAATAATGAAGAATCTCAGAATTTGTGAAGATTGTCATTCGTTCATGTCCCGTGTGTCTGGGCTGAGTGGTAGGGTAATTGTCGTCAGGGATAACAAGAGGTTTCATCATTTTCGTAATGGGTTCTGTTCTTGTGGCAACTTCTGGTGATGGAACAAAGGAAACTCCCCTTTTTTGTTACTATGAACTACACAGTATTAATTAGAGTATAACTGTATAAGTTACCAAGCATGTGGAGTATATGCAATTTTGAGCTTTGTTTTTGTTACTACCTAATCCCAATTTAATTTATGCAGCCTTTCCGATATGGGTACTTTTTGTTAGTTTTGAAATGTTATTCTATCCTGTTTCTGTCACACTATTTTAGTATTTTTGAACCTTCGGAAACATCTTTCTGGATGAGTGGGCGGATAAAAAGTTGAGAAATGAGAGTATGAGACAATGATAACAGAGTCGAGAAGTATATGTTACTCCTTGCGTATTACTCCGTACATGATATTTTCATACTTCAAAACAATTCTGGATATACATAAAATTTATATACACTTACATACGTAATTGTCCATGCACACGAACAATCACTATACAGACAAAATTACGACGTAATTGTCCATGCACACGAATATGGGTGGACTCGGGCCGGTTCGGGCCCGGTTCGGGCCTGGGCCCGGCCGGGCCTCGGGCCAGAAAACTAGGGCCCGGGCCCGAACCGCCGGTGGGCGGTTCCGGTTCCGGGCCAAACCGGGCCGGTCCGGGCCGTGCCAACCGGTTTATTTTTTTTATTTTTTTTTTGGTTCTCCTTTTTAACCCCCTACCCCTCCCCCTCAACCCCAAACCACCCCAAACCACCTCAAATGGCCCAAAATACCTAATCCAACCCAAAACTTAAAAAAATTTCAAAAAAAAAAAAAAAAAAAAATTAAAATCCGGCCCGGACCGGGCCCGAACCGGCCGGGCCGGTTCACCAAAATCAGGGCCCGAGCCCGGACCGCCATCCCACCGGGCCGGGTGGCTCGAACCGGTGACCCAACCGGTTGACCGGGCCGGTCCGGGCCCGCATAGTAGCGGGCCGGTCCGGTTCCGGGCCGGTTGGCCCGGCCCGAGTCCACCCCTACACACGAACAATCATTGCACAAACAAAATTACTAATTGTCCATGTACACGAACAATCACTACACAGACAAAATTACGACGTAATTGTCCATGTACACGGACAATCACTACATAGACAAAATTACGACGTAATTGTCCATGCACACGAACAATCACTGCACAGACAATATTACGTACAAATGTGCAAAAACACTAAACACAACGGGCCAGTCCAAGGGAGGTGCCTCAGAAAAGGAAGGCCCAAAGAAAGTATTAGGCAGGTAGCCCAAGTCCACATAATGGAGAAAGGTAAGTGAGGCAGCGTCTGGTCACTCGAGCGCACTCCGCAGCACGGCAGCACCACACCAGGGCCAAAGCGACCTCCGTGGCTTCGTCTAGGCCTCTAGAGCCGCCAGCGCCACCGCAGCACGCCACTACGCCGGCAGTCTAGCACCGCACGTCAGCATACGTAATCCGAAATTACGAATCACCGACTGACGCACACCAGGAAAGATCAGAATCGCTATTTTGTGTTTGCTAGCGAAACGATTCCAATATTCAATGGCTTCCGAATCCCGTAAAGGTTAGCGGTGATGTTCTATTCTAATCTATTTTTAGTTGCGCTAATTAAGTTGTCAATTTTGTGACGTATGCGGAACCCTTTGGCATTCTTTGTACTTTCTCCGTTTATGCACTTTCGTCTTCAACTCTGATATAGAATTTCGATTTCTTAATTTCTTTCCTAGTAATTGTTCATTTGAGAGCTACTGGTGATGCTCCGATCCTCAAACAGTCTAAATTCAAGGTCCGTGTTATTTTTAGCCCAACTACCCAGGAATATTTGTAGTTTTTTTCTTTCATTTCAGCATATTCAAACCCCTATAATTGAGCCGTTATTGTCTTTTGAAAAAAAAAAGTTGACCACGGCTCGGATTGAACCATTTTCTTCCAGATAGCCAGAAGTTCAAGTACATTGAGATAGACCTTTATATTCTGAAATTTGTTTAATCTCTTGATACTCTACTAAAATTTGATTAGTTTGTTACCTTGTCTAGCTCTTTGTGGTAGTCCTCACTCCTCAGTTTTAAAAGAGTCCCATTTCAAACACATTTGTCCCAAAGATTGCCCACTCTTATTAAATCAAGCTAATCAGCTAATGTTTCAAGTAATTTGTAAATAAATTACCAAAAACTAGTCATACACAAGTTATCCAAAAAAAGCTATAATCCGTATCTGATAAATATAGCTAGACTATATAATGATTCGTGTCAGTTGTACCCTTAACCATAGAAGTTGTACACTACTCAAACAAAAGAGTTGGTGTATGAAATCAGTTATCCTGTTTGGTATTTGGTTAGATAATAATGAATCATTGGTAGTATTAGATGCCAATAAGAGGAAACAGTCCAGCCCAGCTGGCCGCAAACTCACTCTCCCTCAATAGAGTGAGTTTCAACCCTCATTACTCCAGGCTCCCCAGCCCCCTCCCCCAGATGCCCCTTGGATTAAAAAAAATTAGATGCCAGTAATGATATGTGCTTATTAAGCCCAGGAATTCCTTTATGACCAGATTGGTGGAGCGGACAAGTTTGCTAAAGTGATTGAATTTCTATGCCGGCAGCTTCACAGGGACACACTGGTACTTATATTTGGCATATATTCACTGTTATACTCAAATACAAATCTTGATAAGTGTAAACCGAGTAAGTAACTACGTACCCTGAGTGATATATTTGTTTCCAGTTTGTGTATGTCAACAGTGCCTTTTCACCAAATCCGGACGAGTTGATAAATGACCTATACAATGTAAGTGGTGGTGGTTGTTATTAGGGATTTTAAAAATATTAATTTCATAAGTGACTTCTGCTATCTCTCATTTACATTTATGTAAAATCATTGTTCACTGAATATCACAAAATTCAACTCCTTATTTATCACAATGCAGAATTTCGGGTTTGATGGAAAGCTGGTGGTTAACTACGCATGTTCAATGGCATGGGGTTGAGGTTTTGAGCAGTTAGTTGAATGGTGCCCTGAATCTAAGCACACTTATCAATGCTATTATACAATCCCTCAACCTCATATGTAGAAAGTCTTTGACAGTATAATTTCTTCTTCAAGTTCTCTAATTGTTGCAGTTATTGTCGTAGTTCATGTATAGCCAGCCAGCCAGCCATACATATATGATTCCAGAGTTTTGAAGGGTTGCAGGAGTTCTCTTTGGCCGGAGACTGGAGTAAATATTATAGAACTTTTTTTGTCTTTCATAAAATTCAGCAGATTCAAGTCATTTTAGCTAAGCAAACCCTTATCAGATTGGCCGTTAATATGTATTAGGGCCAGGGCTAACTGGAAAGTATTTCACTGTTAGCTTCCATCATCATCATCATGACATCATCATCATCATCATCTCTCATCAAACTATTTCCATTGTAAGAGAAAGAAGGCCAGAGTTTCTTGAGAAGTTTGAAACTTGGCTACATATCACATATTATTCCGAACATCATCATACAGTGGCGTATCTAGGCATCGGAGCTCAATGTATGCACATATTAATATGAACATAATAATATTAATATATAGTACTCCCTTCGTCCCGGATAGAACTTGACATTTAGTTTTGACACGATATTTTAGGAGCTCAATTAATAGTATAACAAATGTCTTGCATGCCCTTTGACTTTTGAGAGGAATTAATGTTATCGACTCAATGTGGATAGGCAGTGAAGGGTAGTTAGGACATTTGATGTGACGGGAGTTGCCTAAAAAAACTTAAAAGAGTAAATGAGACGTTCCAAAAGGTAACGTGTAAAGATTTAAATGGGACGGAGGGAGTATGTGATATCTAATACGAAGTATAAATCTATTGCAACTCTGGCCTCTGGTCCGACCAACTAATCGTTTGCAACTTCTCAAAAAGAGTTTTTTGTTATTAGTAATAATAATGATTTAAACAAATGAAACAATAATAACAATATATAATTATTACCTTGTAATCTAGTACTCGTACTACGTAACTAATAAGGCTTACAGAAAACCTAAACTGGAGCCTAGAAAAGAATCTTCTAGAACTACTACAAATGAGAGAGCTAAGGGCATAAGGAGTTGAAATGGGTTAGAATTTGTAATTTTGATTATTTAGAATTTAATAATATAATACGGAGTAGTAGTGTAGTACTAAATCTTCATCTACGCGGGGCATATCTTAAAATCCCACTCTCACGAGTCACGAAATTAAAATGGCATGGGAAAAGTACTCAAAAAAATATAAATACACCACGTGAAGCCTTAATAGATTCGAACTCTTGACCTGAAGCCCAAGGGGAGTTTTATTTTTCACTCCACTACCACGTTGGCTAGTAACAATATTTGAGGTGTAGCCAATGCTTACACTGAATATACTATAGATCCGCCCCTGTCATCATATGTTTGAACTATATACATATGTCAGAGATTGATGCCTTACAACAATTTCAAATTACGGAGTAATTAAATCCGTCTTGCTTACTGCAAATTTGAAAAAACTGAGTCTTGCGAATGGGTGTTGGATGTGGAAGGTGAAATGAAGAAATAAAAGAAACACCGCAAGAGTTGAAGTAAGGAGTTGACTTTCAAATATCATATATTCATATAGTTTGTTGAAATATATTTTGCACGATAGACGCATTTAATGAAATTAAGAATTTGGAGTTGCTACTTACATGGATGAGTCATAGAGCGGTGAAATGAATTACAGAGAAGTCTAAGAGTTGATTTGGGGTGTTTGGAACTGATTCTGCTTCTTCTTAAAATCAAAAGCAGAATCAGTTTTCAGAAGCAGAATCAGTTTTAAGAAGTTGGTTTTCCCCAGCTTCCAAAAAAATTGATTCTAGGAGTAAATTAGAGCACCAGAATCACTTTTACACTTTCATTCAAACACTCCAGCTTCTGCTACCTGTTCTGCTTCTTCAGGGAGCAGAAGCAGTTTTAAGAATGAGATTCAAACACCCCTTAATGAAAAATGAAGTTTTGAACGGGATATAATGAAGTTTTGGACGGGATATAAAATGCCTTCACTATAATGATCGAAGATTCTCTATAAATTACCACTCGAGTGGATTCATTGTTTAAGGGTTTGTTTGCAAATGCTTGTGCTTAAATAAAAGCACTTTTTAGAAAAAAGTGATTAGTAGTAAAAGTTGATAGTGTTTGGTAAAATAAGTGCTTTTTGTGTAATAGAAAAAGTAAAAAGTAGATTCTACACGAAAATCGAGAAAGTAAAAGTTGGTAATGCTTGGGAAAATAAGTGTTTTTTTCTTAGAAAAAAACCACAATCACTTATTTTAAGTGATTGCAAACAGAGCCTAAATCTTCATTGAAAAAACAC